TGAGAACCCACTATATGCAAGCTGGAGCTATCTATATTAGATGCTATACATAAGTATCTCACCGAATTATGACAAGGACTCTGTGAAGAGAGTGTTATTTTTTTCTTTTTGCCCATTAGGAAACTGAGAAAGGTTAAACAACCTGTCCACCATCACAAAGCTAGAAATTGATAGAGCTAGGGTTTGCATTCTGAGTCGGTTCAGGTTCAAATCCCTCGTCTCCAGGTCAAGTATTTCTATTATCTCAATGCTACAGCTGAGGAAACTGACTTAGAGATGTTAAGGAGCCACGATCTTACAGTTAATAAGTCATAGAGAAAGAATTCAAACTGGAGTCCTCATAGGACATAAAGATCTCAGAAGAATGAGAAAAAAATGTACTGATTGAGCTTCAGTTTTGGCAAATATAAAGTAGTTCTCTTAGGCAAGATATACCCCAATCTCTATTTATAAAATGATGGACTCTATCATATCACAGCTCAGGAAACACATTTTTGTCTATTTCATTTCACTTCCACAAACATGTATTAAGTACAACTTCTGTGCCAGGTATCACACAGGACAATTTTATGGACCATCTTTTTTTTTTTTTCCTTTTCCCTGAGTCTCTTAAGTTTTTAAAGTATTGTTTTCCTCATTATACAAAGGAAAATTAGTGACTTGCACAGTGTTACAAACTAATAATGGCGGAGTAGAAATTGTGATTGGCTCTAACGAAATTGAGCTCCAGTGGCTGCATAAGCTGAGATGCTCAGAGGAATGTTGAGTTTCATCAGGAAGAGCATGGAAGCCAGAGAGAAAAGGCATTATCCCATATTCACATGAAAGCAGTGTGTGGGCTCGGAAAAAATGTGGCAGTTCTATTCATGGACCTTCAAGAAAAATTTAGTAGAGCTGGGGAGGTGGGAGAAGGACAGAGAAGAACTATTCAAATCACCAATATGACGGAGGCTTGTTGGTACAAAGATAGATTTAACAAAATTAGATTTTTCTCAATCAAAAAATGAGCAGACTGAGGAGGGATATAACAATACTTGATAGAATGGAACGATGCACTTAATCAGCAAATCTCAGAAAAACAGAGCCATCCCAACCTCCCTTTACCCCAAAGTTTGCAAGAGTTAATTTTAGAGCAAACAAAAGAAAGTACTGCTTTACATAGTAGATAGTAAATTTAATGAGCAAGAGAGGTAGGGACTAACTGGTAGATGCATAAATGGTTTCAAAAAATGGTTATTTAAATACCAGGACCTCATAAAGTCCACATGGGTATATGAAAGATGTGGGAGACCTTAAACATCACCCAGCCCAAACTCTATCACCTCGTGAATATCGGGCGCATGCTTGGTCACTTCCAGTGGCCAAGAGCTCACTCTTTTCCAAGGCAGAACGTTCCAGCCTTGACAGCTCTGCATGTCAAAAAGTCCTTTCTAAGCTGGGGGCTGTGGCACACACTTGTAGTCCCAGCTACTTGAGTGGCTGAAGCAGGAGGATCCTTTGAATCCAGGAACTTCTAGGCTGTGGCACTGTCATGGTGCCTGGGCATAACCACTGCACGGCTGCCTGGACAACATGGAAAGTCCATGTCTTAAAAAAAGTTATTTCTTAGGTTTAAACAGAACCTACCTTCATTTATTATATCCATTTTGGCTTTATTTCTGTGTTTAAGATTCCACTCAATAAATCCAAATACTTCCTTTTTACATTTCTGCAGGTATTTAAATTCAGCTGTCAGTTGTGGCTGTTGACGTCAATGTCATGACAGAAATCAAATTTACTCAGAAATTGTTTAGGGGGATATTCAAATTCTAAAAGAAGAGTATCATGTGGCTCTCTCAACTTGGAAAGGACCAAAGGAACAAGTGGTGGAGCAGGAATCAGGAGACCTACCTTCTAATTGGGTTCTGTGACTATTTGTATGAAAATTCATGTCACTGTATCTGCCACTAATTAGCAGATGGATCTTCCAGGGCAGGGACCTCAGATTTCTGGACCACAGAGCTCTTAATTGCAAAATAAAAGGGTTGAGCAAAATAGTGTTTATTCTACCTGTGTCTCTGACTTGGACTCAGTTAACCAGTGGTGGTTCTGAGATCCAAATCCACTTCTTTTTGAAACTCTCTTTAATATACCACCACTGGAAAAGAGTTGTATCAATCCCTTAAGATAGACCAACCCAATTAGGTGGTGATTTTACTGACCATGATTCCTGCTCACTAGCTGTCCCACCTCCATTTCCTGTGAAAGTAAGTTCATCTAGGGATAGAGCAGATTTCATCAGATTTTCATTTGTTTTGAGCTAAGCTGCTTACTAATAGCCAGAGAAGGGTTGATAAGGAGAAAGCAAGCAACAAACAAACAGACCGAAAGTTCGTTCCAGATCATAAAATTGACCCACGCATGGGATGGGACCCTTCCATAGACATGTTAAGGGCCAGTGAATCTGGTCTTCTCCCTACATAAATGGGACTCACATGAGCAAAGGAGTTTTCTGTCTGTGGAAACCCTGTATGAATGATGATCCCCACCATTTGTGTAGAAGAAGGCCACCCTAGCCCAAAGGCAGTGCTGAAAAGCAGGTAGGTGTCTAGAGATTCCAAGGGTCTCCCGGCTGGTCAATGCCACAACTAAGACTGAAACAGCTGTCTCAGGACTCAGTGTTCCCGAATTCCTCCTTCAGAATGTATTAAGCAGCAACTCCGTGCCAGGTACTGTGCTAAACTCACCAATACATCTTATCCCCTTTAATCTCTGTTATAAGCTCTGGGGAAGCAGGGATTTCAGCTGTCTTGTTTATAATTTTGTCTCAGACTCAAGAACATCACCTGACACTTAATAGAAGATCAATAAATATCTGTTAAATAACTTTAAATAAGCAAATTAATGAGGTAGATGTTAATACCCCCATTTTAAAGATTAGGAACTTGAGGCTCAGAGAGATAAATGGACTTGACCAAAGTACAGCAAACAAGCAAGTAATAACAGCAGAGCTAGCACTGGAACACAGGTTTTCTGATGTCAAGGTCAGCGCTCTTCCCAACAGAGCGTAGCTGTCTCTCAGCTTAACTACCTTAAAAACAAAAAATAAAATCCAGTTTAATCCTTTCAAAAACATAAAGTAAAATTTGTGGAGCAAGCATACATTTCTTAATGCTCTTCTTTTTTTAGCCATTCAAAGCCTTTAGAAATAATAAGTGACCATGAATTACTTTCCCACAAAAGCAATATTAAACAGATTTTAAAAGAATTCCATTCAACTGGAAAACAAAAGCAAGCAACAATAACTACAAAGAGAGCTTGCGAATTTCATGGAAATCAGGAATGTTTTTCTGGTGGAAGACATATTTCCCCCGAAGGTCCCGTGGCTCTGGAGAATGGTAGTTCAAAACATGAGTAAGTAAGAGACAGAAGCCGACCTTCAGGGAACAGCAGGTTAGGAGGGTGTGCCAACCTACCTTGTGGGGGACCCAGGGACTCTTCCCTTTTAGTTGTCTGCCTTTCCCATCCCTCTCCTCTACCGCAGCTGTGAAAGGGATAGGATGCACACTAATTCTTGAGGACCCTGTAGCTGTGGACAAGAACCCTTGACTTCAGTTTTCCCATGTGTAAAATAGAAAGATTGTCCTAAATGATACCTAGGGGCCCTTTCCTCTCTGACACAGCCTCTCTTTCCCTTTCCTCTGTCCTTCCCTCTTCTCTTCCACCTAGCTCTAGACAGTGCAGGCGGTGGGGCCCAAAAGAGGCGTTGGGGACTCCCCGCCCTGCCACTGCTGGAGTCTCCTCATGCAGCTGCACAGCTAACAGCTGCCTCACCCTGCACTGCAGACCACTCTGATTTACCTACGCAGATGAGGCGATAAATATACGAGATCTGCTGAAAGTGAAAAGTTCTTTATTCCTCACGTTACTGTTAGCCTTCACTTTCCCTAAGCCAAGGGACAATGAATGACCCAGATGAGCCTCCTTTTCCAACACTGGCCTCCCTTAGGGACTCACCTCCTGCATTCCATCTGCACAGGTAGAACTGAGTTAGGATGAGGGATAATTGCTTTCCATCGTTCAGTAGGCTTTTTTGTTTGCTTGTTTCTAGTTTTCTTTCCTACTCACCACACACAGAAAACAGTGTGAGCTTTCTCATTCTAGTGCATAAACGCTGGTCAGTCAATACCCACAGGTGTTCAGAAAGGCAAGCAAGCATTGCTGCCCAGCTGGGCAATATAGTCCCCTCTGCCCCTGCCTATTGGGCTTGCCTTCCTTGGGCATCCTTTCTAGCTTCACTTGTACCATGATTCCTTCTCTCGGACCACTTCTGGAGGCTGGTGAAAGTCGGGCCCATTCTTGAAGCCTGTGCTTCTGAATCATGTTCTCCACAGCCTCCCTCATCTGCTCTCACCTCTACCTTCTCCTATTTGAAATTGCTTGTGGGCTCTTCCATTTTCCCACAGCGCATGTTCCATACATTCTGAAGGCACATTTGATAGACACTTTGTCACGGTTGCTTGGAACCATGTTGTCTTTTCCAAGCAGGCTATGAACATTTGGGGGCATGGATCATAACCTGCCTTTGTTGACATTCTTCATTGGCCTAGCTAAAGGTAATCATAACTCTTGATGCCCTCTAATGCTGCAAACACTTTTCTTTCCTGTGGCTTCTACATTGGGGAAGATACATGGGGCTATATAAGGGTTAAATAGAAGCTCCGTGATTCATTCAGTCCCACCCTAAAATGCTTCTTCCAGCTTCTGTTGACTTCTCCTGTTACCAAGCATAAAACAAACACTACTGTCTCCTTCTCCCTCATACCTATTTTCTTGGTCCCCTGGGTTGCACTCCCTTGCCAGGCTCTTTTCTTTCTGATCCAGCTTTCTTTGAACATACTTATTTGCGTTTCACTCAACACGTGCCTCAAATTGCATCACCAGTTTAATGTGGGTTTTAAGCTAAGACGCTAGAGCTTTTCTCTTTCCTGTCTCAACAAGTACTCTTCATTCATGTCTTTATTAATTCTTCAAATAGCTAAACAGCAGCCAAGACTCTGAGGGATACAAATTCGAAAGGATCCCTTCCCTGACTACAAGGTGATCCCTGTCTGATAGGGAAGACAGGACATGCATAGAGAGAGTTAAAATACCAGGTGGATGGCAATAGAAACCCTTAAAAGGGAGGCTGATAATCATGTGTTATATACACTCCGGGGGGGGGGGGAGGGGTCATTTCTCTGGGAAGGAAAGAAGATTAGGAAAGACTTCACAGGGGAGGTGACATTTGAAGTGGACCTGAAAGAGTGAGGTTGGATTTGCACTTGCGGGGGTAGGAGAATTAAGCAGAGGGAAAAACAACTAGTAAAGGCTGGAGATGGAAAAGTACAGGACGAGGAAGCGTAAGTCGTTCGCCCGGGTTGCCGCTCTGCATGCTCAGACGGGAGCACGGAGCAGTACGGCTGAACAGGTAGGTTGAGATCCATGTTGGGGGATGGAAAGCAGCCGGAAGGGACAGGCACAGGAGACCAGTTGGGAGGCTTTTGCAATCTCCTGAATGATAAGTGGCGGCAGTTAAAAAAAAAAATAGGATGGGTGTGAAAAATGTTTCAACAGAGATGCCTAAATTCTTCCAACTCACCTTGACTAATTATCCTCAATAACTCATACACCTGTTTTCATTGCAAGCGTTGGGCTACCTCTCCCTGCCCCCTACTTCGGAAACTTATCTTTTTATCTTCCAGGTGCATGACTTTCTGCCCAATTACTTGTTTTCAACCCATCAGAGCAGGTCAAGCATGCAGCTCAGAAGTCTCACTGTCACACTTGGCCTAGGTTGCCCTTGTGCACTGTCTCTGTTCCCTGTGTTCTGCCTTTGCGTACCCACAGAACAATAGCTCCACGTCTCCCAGACCCTCATGTGGAGACTTGGTTGAAGGCGAAACCTGAACAAGGATTTTAGCACAGGATGAAAGACGAAGTGGCAGAGGGGTAAGACCAACCCCCATCAAACTTCACCAAGTGCTCTGCCCCAGACTCAGCTCTGCCACATCCTACTCTTAGTGGGAGGCCAAGCAGGAAGGACTAAGGTGACTGGGGCCTGGGCAGTGGGAGAAAGGACAGTGGGAGAAAGATCATGAGGAAGCAGAAGGAGCTTCGTTCTGGCCCAGGGAACCATCCAGCAACTATACCCACCACCAGTCCTGGGAGTCACTGGCAGCAAAAAATCAGAAGAAGGAATACAAAGGTGCTGCTCCGCCTCTACTGAGCACCCCTCCCCATCTCTAAGCCTCAGTTTTATCTTCTGTAAAATGGGGATTATGACATCTACCTTGTGTGTCCTGTTGACTCATTTGTAAAGGTAGAACAAGGTAAGTGAGTGTGAAAGCACTTTAAACATGTAAAGTGCTGTATTACAGGCTTTTCCTCACTCAGCTGACCCTATTCATTAGGATAAGTAGACATGAAAAGAAGGAAGAAGAATCCAGATCCCGAGGAGCAGAGGCTGTGAATGTCTCAGTTTTGCATAATAGAACTTTGGTGATTGACCTATGGAGGATCTAGTCCAGTTTCTCATTTGACAAGGAAGCTGAGGCCCAAAGAGGGGACATGAAGTTTCCATGGTCACAAGATGATTCAGAGGACAAACCCTGATCCTGCAGATGCCAGGCCAGTCCTTTTTCCACCCCACACCTCTAGTTGTCCAAGGTGAAGCTCTCCAGGTTGGAGACCACAGGCCCAGAGCCCAGGCATGCTGGATTCCTGAATTACTGGTGAGTAGTTACACAACTGAAACTAAGGAAGAGCTTGGCATGGGACTCGATATAAGACACCATTTCTTTAAATCATTAGGTTTAGAATCCTGGATAACCATTTCCTAAGATCCAGAGTATTCATGTCCTGAAAAGGAAGACTCAGTTTCAAATTTCCTATTGCCCTTTTCTCCTCTGTCCCCATGAATTATTTGGGCTCTGGGATGGGAGAAAAAGGGATGATTCCTCTGACTAGCTAGTAGCTGTTAAGTATCAAAGGCATAGAGGGTGGCAATCCTCCAACAAGCATGTATAGTTACCCTACCTTGTTTCATCTTCCTGACAGCCTTAAGCAGTAAATCATCTCAGTACCCTCAGTTAAACACACACACACCCTGAGACTTACAGAACTCAAGTGTCTTGAGTCACGGGCCACTGCCAGGTTGTGTCTCTCAAGACCTCCCCAAAGTACAGCAAGATTTTATTTTTAATAGGAAACTACAGCCTCTACTTCAAATGCTTTTAGAATGAGCTCTTCCATAGTATCAGAACTGTTGAACGACATGACTGTTTTACCCATGAGATTCTATAAATACAGACTCCCTCTGTTTTATCCACTAGCTTGGATGTTTCTGTCTTCTGATTAATTCATCATTGCACAAGCATTTTCGGAGAACAGCACTGCGCTGTGATCTGAAGGGCTGAACCATACCCCTGCCTGCAAGGTTTTGAAGTTTAGTGATTGTCCAGGGAGCACAATGTCAGACAACTCCAATCAGAAGAGGACAAGTGTGTCACAAGAGAGGTCAAAATGTGTACATGGGCTATAGAGATAGAAGAGGGGAGAAGGGAGTTTGTCTGCCTGACTAGAGGGTCTAAGGAATTAAGGGAGGCAAGCGTGGCCGAGTGGTCTGAGCAGATGGTAGGATGCAGGAGGAAGAGATGCTGGAGTTCAGGCCAGAAAGGGTCTGGGGCTGATGTTTGGAGGGCTCTGAGACTGTGCTAAGGTGCTTGTTTCTTTCCAGAGTTTGCCAGTCCTAGATGTGCCCAGACATAGGTAGTGCCCTTGCATGACTTCTTAGACCCCCAGTTTCCCCTTCTGTAAAATGGAAGACATGGATGTCGCCTATAAGGCACCTGTGTGAGGGTGGGCCAGGGGAAAGTGGTAGCACAACGCTTTGAGCTCCCCCAGGATACGATGCAAAGGGAATGCAAATCACAGTTATTTATAATGGCAGCAAACTGAGATGCTGAGAAGACGGTGCTGCGGGCCGCCAAGCACTCCCTCTGGAAATCCTGAAAACCTGCTACTGCAGGGCTGTGCCCAGATCCCAGCTGGAAGCAGGCTTATCTCTTCTCAGTTCCCGGTGCTTCTTCCGATCCTGCCAGGATGTTCCTCATGAAACAAACACTAATCTCCCTGCATAGTTCCACCTACAGAGGAGGAAGCTCCACACCCTTCTGCCCTCCCCTTTTAGAAAACTACGCTGAGTTCTAAACTCCCAGGTCGTGACAAGTTCCCATTTTGTGTCATCATTGCCTTACCAGGTAGCCCTATCAAGGCTAGACCTTTGGATCTGGGAATGGCACAGCTTAGGAGGCTAACAGGACAAACAATCTGATGTCCTGTTCGCCTCCTAAGGCAGCCCTTCACTTCTGGAGCTGTCTCTTCCTTGTGCCAGGCTTGTGTTGGACACAAAGGACTCATCCAAGGAGGTAACGGACAAGGCAGGGCAGTCAGGGGTGTGGCCCAGAAGGAGAGACAGGGAGCAGGGTCCTAACATCCACAGAATTTCCTTTTTTAATGAAGGAAGGAAAGGACCACATTGGTTTCAACTTTTTAATCTTTGAAAAAAAAAATGCAAATGGCACTCCCTTTACAAACATCATCTGTTATGGGATTCCACATATACAACTTGAGTTCACCCACTGGTGACTGTCTCAGGTATCTCAAAGGGATTCTAAAAGAGTATTTCTCAAGCTTTGATGTGTACACTAATCCATAGTGGGTATGGTTAAAATGCAGTTGAAAGGTTGATGGTGGGACCCGAAATTCTGCATTTCTAATAACTTTCCAGATTATGTCAATGCCACTGATCCATAGACAAAACTTCCAAACTTTATGAAACAAGAGTCCACAGCTCTAAGATTTACAGTTTGAAAACCACTGATCTTTAGGTTACAGAGACAACGAGCCTCCCCACACCCCATTCCTGGAGATATTAAGCCAAGTTTCCCAGATTAGATTCTGCCTAGACCAAAGTCAGCTTCTGCAATCAACTGTAAACCAAGATCCTAGGATTGCCTCCTTCTGACTCTAGGTGACTCTCTTCTCCACTGGCAGTCTGGGAAAATTCCTAAGAGGCTTGGCCATGCGAAAGAGCTTTAACGTGTGGGCTTTACTCTAACAGAAAAGTACAAAAGGTTCAGATCAATCCTTCTCTCCATCTCCATCTGCCACTGCAACACACACAGAAGAGAGAGAGAAAGAGAGATCAAGCCAGTGTTCCCCTTGGCATTTAAAAAGAAGGGTGACAGCCACTCTCTCCCTGCCCTCTCCTAACCCCAGCTGATGGAGGTCGTTTCCCTCACACACCTTCTATCCCTCAGATCCACCCCCTTTTTGGGGACTGAGATGCTCCCACTAAGGTCAAAAGTATTTTTAGCTGTGCCATGTGGACTCATGCTTGGCCAACTCTCCCTGGACGTTAATCTTGGATTCCACAAATGCCAGGTCTCCTGATCCAGGAGGCATGGAGGCGACAGGGAAATCTTAGTGCCTTGGAAATTGCAGTGCATGGCCTTTTGAGGATTTTGTCCGAATGCCATGTATGATAAAAACAACATCAGTAACACCTAATGCACAGAAAATGCTTCAGCATTTACTGAGTGCTTTCTCCTGCATTGCCTCATTTGATCTTCCCGAGAGGCTCATGGGAAAGATAAGGTAAAAATTGTTCTTATTTCTATTTAATAGAAGGGCCAGGGGATTTGCCAAGAAAACACTGCTAGTAAGTAGTAAACTTGAGCCTTCAGCCCCTTCATCCAAGCTCAGTGCACTTACCATACCCCCATGCAATCCCACGTTTTTGCTTCTCCCCTAGCTTGGTTTTGTTTTGTTTAATATTACAAGATTCAATATCTGTAGACCTCCATGATAAAAAGCCTAGGGTCATCAATGTTTTTAAGAAATGGAAGATTTGAAACAAGGAAGAATGAAGCAGCTTATATCAGTCATGGTCCTGGCAGGAAGCAGAGGACTGGCTTAAAGAGGGTAGACAAAAAGAGATTCATTCGATAATTTGCAAAGAAGCAGGAAGGCTTAAGGAAAACCAAGAGCTAGCAATGTGCCCTAAGGCTCACAACAACTGGAAGCTGTTACCTGCTCTTGGCCTGAAAGGGCAAAGGGAGAGGCAGTTACCAGAGTCTGGAAAGTGCTGGAAAGCTGCAGGAGAGGGCTGTAGCCTTTGGCATTGCCAACCCGCAGCCATCAGTGAGGGTGCTAGGGGAAAATAGTAGCTCACCTCTCCTCTCTCCCACCTTCCAGCCACCTGATCAGTGCTGGGCTGACTCCAACCGGAAGTCCAAGAAATAGGGAACCTAAAGATATCCATAAAGACCAGCCTCCTGGAGTGGCTGCAAGATGAGGATGAAGAATAGCTTTGTAGGTCGAATAGGAAACACCCAGCACACAGCTGTGCTCACTAAGATAGCCTAGGACTTGGGAGAGGAGGAAATTGCACAGAGTCAGAGGGGCTGTGCTTTGCAAGGTGGGACTGAGCCTTGTTCTCTCAAAATGTAATTATTTCAAAGCCCACCTGCAGTTAGCTCTCTGGAAGCCAATCTGGACTTGCGCCCCAAGGGAGCCAAAGAAAAAGCAGGTCACGAGCTCCCAAGAGACTCTACTAACCCCACAAGCAGGGTTGGCCATCCCGTGGCCTGGGTTTAGATCCCAGTTCCACCATTCTGCGCAATTCCAGGTTGTGACTCTGTCCACTTCATTTAATCTCTCTGAATCTCTGAGCCTTTGTGAAATGAGTGTAACAATCCCTGGGCTGCCCAGCTCAGGACAGGCTGGCACTTCACACACTGGAAATGCCACATAAGAATTCCACAGAGGGAGGTCACGTAAGCATGCTGTGCATCCCAAACAGCCAAGAACACCTGTCATTTACTCTTCATAAAAAATGAGACCTAGATTTGAAGAAAGTTAAAGCCAGAGAAGCCCTAGAATCATCAGACCGACTACTCTTATATAAAAAGAAGAATGTGAAAGAGAGGTTCACAGATGGGGGCAGAGCTGGGCCACCAGTCTCCCTCCTTTCACAGTCCCATGGTGCCCCTCCCACCTGCCCATGAAGTTGATAGGACCTACCCATGTGAGTATCAAATGACATAAAGGATGAAGTAGTGTTTTGTCCATTATAATAGTGGTTGCCGTCATTGTAATCAATAACAATCCTTCCCCTACAAACCTATCCCAGGAAATAAAATTGTCGTCATTAGCTATGTCTTCAAGGACATGGTAAAATATGACTATTTGGGCCGGGCACGGTGGCTCACGCCTGTAATCCCAACACTTTGAGAGGCCGAGGTGGGAGGATTACGAGGTCAGGAGTTCAAGCCCAGTCTGGCCAACATGGTGAAACCCCCTCCCTACTAAAAACACAAAAATTAGCTGGGTATGGTGGCGCGTGCCTGTAATCCCAGCTACTCGGGAGGCTGAGGCAAGAGAATCACTTGAATCAGGGAGTCGGAGGTTGCAGTGAGCCAAGATAGCCTTACTGTACTCCAGCCTGGGCGACAGAGTGACACTCAATCTCAAAAAAAAAAAAAAAAAAATGACTGTTTTACCAGGGCAAAGGACATGAAAACCTGAGAATACACATCAGGTGAGGTCCTCAGAATAGCTAGTGATAAATAGCACTTGGCTGAGGAAGAGGTTCTTGGGATAT